TTTTTTTTTTTTTTTAAAGTAACTTAGACATTTTCTATATTAATACATATAGCACTGCCTTATTCTGCACAGGTTTCTGTTGTAAGATGAACACCAAATTTTCCAATTATTTTTCTGACTATTTCAATATGAAGTTTCTGCTATTGCAAACAAGGCAGCAATGAAGAACCTTATACTCGCAGCTAGCAATGTGGCACTGGGTTAAATTATTCTGTCTAATCCACATTTTACTTGTCTGTCAAACAAGAGGGACTAGAATTCAGTTTCCATGGCCCCCTCTAGTTCTGACATTCTACAGTGCCATTCCATAAAATGTAATTACTAAAGAAATTTGCCAGTTTTAAGGAACAATATTAATACCAAAATTTAACATAACTAAGAAAGCTCCAAGCAAACCTGTGCCTGAAGTAGTCTCAGTTGTCTGTCTTGCTCAGTGAGGAACCGATATGCATCTGGAGATAGTCCCATCATTCCATTATCTGACTCAGTCTTGGATGTGTGCACACACACTGTGCAAGGCTGTGGGGTACATGAGTCCATATGTGAAGGCAGTCTTGCCCCAGGTAATGGCTCAACATTGCTGTGGGGAGAACAACTGTCCATGCCTCCCTGAGATCTCAAGGCCATAGGACTACTTGAAGAACAGAATGCATTATGATACAGAGCCGGACATCCACTTGGGTAAAATAGTGAGTGCTTTTGAAGGGCTTCAGGCTGAAGGTCTTGAATAGATTCAAATGTATTTATTCCTTGCCAAGAACTGATTGGACTATACTGAATATGCCTATGATACTGACAACAACTGCAAACATTTGTTGAATAGTATGATGGTGTGGGAGGAGAAGATATCTGAAGTTCCATTGGTTGTCTTGAATTATGGGATGAAAAAACAAAATTGTGTGAGTAGGACTGTGGGGCAAGAGAAGATTGCCTTGAATTAAATGTGGAGGGTCTTACAGGTTGCTCTTCTTGGTGTACATTTCCAGAAGAAACTGACTGAAACTTTTCACACACACCATGAGATAGCCCATTATGAGAAGATGGTTTAACACTGTTCTTGACATGGAGGTTCCCCTTCTTACATCCAGATGGCTGTCTTACTTTGCTGTGTCTCAAAAAAGCAGTGCCCTGGTTTAACTGATTTGATATTCCTCTCAAGGAAAGCTCTTCAGCTTCACTTTCTTGGCTGTGTTTCTCATCATAAAGCTGGGGCTGCAAAGGCTTCAGGTGTTCAGACTGGTTAATCAACGAAGGAGGATTTTCATTATTTTCTATTTCTAGTGGATTAGGTGGAGAGTTTGAGTCTATGAAATTGCTATCCAACACAAGCGAAAGTTCAGGAACTGATGGCTGAATCTTAGAAACCTATAAATAATAAAGAAAAAGGAAAAAGGTATTTTTAAAGAGAAAGACATACGTTTTATTTTCCTTAGACCAGTATTTCCCAGATTATACCTAATTACATGTTAAAAAATGTCCATCCTTTTTTTTTTCCTCGAGACAGAGTCTCACTCTGTTGCCCAGGCTAGAGTGCCCTGGCATCATCGTATCTCATAGCAACTTCAAACTCCTGGATTCAGACAATCCTGAAACTCCTGAATAACTCGGAATACAGGTATATGCCACCCACCCAGCTAATTTTTCAACTTTTAGTAGAGACTGTATCTCACTCTTGCTCCGGCTGGTCTTGAACTCCTAAGCTCAAGTAATCCTCCTGACTTGGCCCCCAGAATGCTAGGATTATAGGTGTGAGCCACCACGTCTGGCCTATTCATTCTTTATATTCAGACTATTGGCCTGTTCATTCTTTATTTAGACTATCAGCAAGTATTTTCTGGGGATCTTCCATGTGCTAGGCACTAGGAATACAATTATGAGCAAAATAAACAAAGTCCTTGCCCTCAAAGATTAAAGCATTTCTTAAACTTGTTTAATAATGGAACTCTTTTTATTAGAAAACTAGCATTGCTTATATCACAGGACACAGTATGAAAAGCTGTTTTATACGATAGACTTTTTTTTTTAAAACTTCTGTCTGGGCTCGGCGTCTGTGGCTCAAACGGCCAAGGCGCCAGCCACATACACCTAAGGTGGCAGGTTCAAATCCCCAGCCCGGGCCCGCCAAACAACAACGATGGCTGCAACCAAAAAAAAATGGCCAGGCGTTGTGGCGGGCGCCTGTAGTCCCAGCTACTTGGGAGGCAGAGGCAGGAGACTCGCTTGAGCCCAGGAGTTGGAGGTTGCTGTGAGCGTGATGCCATGGCACTCTACCTAGGGGGATAGCTTGAGGCTCAGTCTCAAAAAAAAAAAAAAACTTCTGTCTGTAAAAAAGTTATCACAGGTAGAATGCTTTGACAGATTTAGTGGCAAATATTTATGTACCTTAAATAACAAAGGATCTTCCAATAAATATTTCTCTGCTAAATAAAGTAACCCACCATTATTCCTTCTACTGATATCAACAAAAAGAGTTGGAAGAAAGCAGAAAAGAGTAAACAAAATATTCGCTGTGATAAATTTGATTATTTGATATTAATTTTAAAAAATATTTCTCATTCCTTTTTCTTCTAAAATAAAAAAAATTAGTCCAGCTAAGGTAAACAACAATTCTAAAATAACCCATTGGTTGGCAGCAATCAAAAAATTATGATGGGATTATTAATAATTAACCTCTGAAAGTAGGTAGAATGCTGTCCCAGAATACGGAAATGAAAACCAATGTCAAGCTCTGGAGGTAGTATAGAACGCTAAACACCAGATTAAAAAAACAAACCTCCTAGACTAGAATCCCAGCTTTATTACATACTAGTTGTATGATGTTGGACAGATAATTTAACCAATCTACGTTTAAACCTCCAAGAAAACCTTAGTTTTCTTGGGAAATAATTATGTGTACTTATTACATATAATATTACATGTATACATATGTACATTTAAATACATATAACAATAATTGTAGTTACTCATGAGGTATTTATCTCTCTCTATATGGATATAACCATATAGATATAGATAGCTAGATATATCTTCAGACGATACTTTTTGTTTTTTGTCAAGAGACAGGATCTTCCTCTGTCTCCAAGGCTGGACTGCAGCAGCACTATCATAGTTCCCTACAGCCTCAAACTCCTAGCCCCAAGCAATCCTCCTGCCTTGGCTTCCCAAAGGGCTGGGATTACAGATGTGAACCACTGCGCCTGGCCAGAATGACTATAAATTTTAGGTAGTATTATTTAGTCTTTTGACACAATGAGACTTTTCTGTCTCTAATCACAAAGATGAATTCACATATCATGAGTGACACCTTTTGACTCAATGGATGAGGACTAGGAATTGGTCTTGGGGAAAAATCTTCATCTTCAACACCAGAATCATGATCACTTATTGGCATTTTCCCAGCAGTTGACTTTTGGGAAGACCTAAAGAATAAAAAAAGAGAAAAGAAAATCCTTCAGTAATCTAGTGTTCTTTCTTCTTGAAATTGAATAAAGTCTTTTAATAATTAACAGTATTTGGATCACTTAATTTAGTACCTCACAATCACAAATTATTTTTTTTTCAGGTCAATGTTAGCTGACTAGGAAAGATGCCCCAGTCAGACTCATACTTATTAAACTATCCCATTTGCTTGATCATGGCAAGTTCAACCTTATATTATTTATGTCACAATAAATCAGCAATTATTTCTCGTTGATCACTTCGATGAATGGAGAAATAAACAAGACTGCATTTGTTGTCAAAAATATTATAATCTGGTTATAGAGATGCAACTCACTGTATTAAACACGCTATTACACCAAATAAGGAATTATATTTTCCATACTTACATCTGTGGTGGAAAAGTACTTTGAGACATGGAAGTATTGTGTCAAAGATGGCATAACTCAGCAGAACACAGAAAGATTCTGAGTGTTGGTACTAAGTTTCAAAAGGTGAAATTAGTGTTTGTGACTAAAGACTTGGTTAATTATATGCATCATATTTTTTAATATCCTACCCTAGATAAAGTCTCATCAGGATGCACCAGGGAAATGAAAAGATAAGCCAGAATGAAGCTAAGCGTGCTTAGAATTAATGGGTCCCTAAGAAAGCACCCTGTATCCTGTTTCATGCAAGCTGAATTCTCCCTAGCAGGTAGAACAACAGAAATCCCCAGGTAAATCTGAAGATCAAACAGTAGAGGAGACCTTTGCTTCAAACCCTAGTAGTCTGGAGAGGCAGACACTCCACAGTATTTTCTGTGTGAGGTATTTTGCAATGAATGTCTGCATGGTGTGTTTAGGCATGTGGGTCTGTAGTAGGTCCACAAGCTCTCCTGGAACATCCAAGAAAGCAGTATTTTTAAGCAACTTTTAACTGAAGTTATTAAATATAATTTATAAAGCTCTTAAATATACAACATTCCATCACTGGACTATAAATTTCATGAGAGAAGGGACCAATTCCACATTTGTTGTATATACTACCTTATCCCTAGCCCTCAGCACGTCACCTGGCACATAAATTGCAAAAGCTAAAATAGGGTTACGATGGTTATTTGTATGTGATAGCTAGACCACAATACCCAGATATTTGGTCAACATTATTCTAGATCAGTGGTTCTCAACCTTCCAGATGTCGTGACCCTTTAATACAGTTCCTCATGTTGTGGTAACCCCATCCATAAAATTATTTTTGTTGCTACTTCATAACTGTAATTTTTGCTACTGTTATGAATCGTAATATAAATACTGATATTAGGCAACCCCTGTGAAACGGTCATTGGACCCCCAAAGAAGTTGCAACCTATAGGCTAAGAACCTCTGTTCTAGATGTTTCTACCTATGAAGGTATTTTGTAGATAAGATCAACATTTAAATCAGTAGACTTCAAATAAAACACATTACCCTTCATAATATTGGGTGGCTTTCATCCAATCGATCATTTAAAAGCTTTAAAAGAGAAAGACTGACTCCCCTGGACAGAAAGGGAATTCTGCCAGGAAACTGCCTTTGGACTTAAACTGTAACTCTCACCTGGGTCTCCAGCCTACCACCCTACCCTACAGACTTGCCAAATCTCTGCAATTATAGGAGCCAACTATTTAAACCTCTCTCTCTTTGTATACACATACCCTATTGTTTTTGTTTCTCTGGAGAACCATAACTAATACAAGGCAATAATATCTTCTTTACCATAAAAGAGGATATACTGATACAAGAAGTCATAAACCCTTATTTAATTTTTTTCAAGTGTATTTGTTTTAAAAGTTTTTCTTAGGCAGAGAAGTTGTTTTATAATAGTTTACCTGACAGGTACAGATTTTAAACTACAAGAAGGGCAGTGCCTGTGGCTCACTAAGTAGGGCACTGGCCCCATATACCAAGGGTGGCAGGTTCGAACCTGGCTCTGGCCAAACTACAACAAAAAATAGCTGGGCATTATGCGGGCACCTGTAGTCCCAGCTACTCAGGAAGCTGAGGCAAGAGAATCACCCAAGCCCAAGAGCTGGAGGTTGCTCTGAGCTGTGATGCCACAGTACTCTACCGAGGGCAACAAAGTAAAAACTCTGTCTCTAAAAATAAATAAATAAATAAATAAATAAAACTATAAGGAAAGGATAGAAGGCACTGCACAAAAACAGGATACTTCTCTCTAAGAAATTTTCATTCTTTTTTCCACAAGAACATAATTTTAGTAGTGATTTATATTAAGATACAATGTCAGCTAAATTATAAAAACAGCTTTAAAATATATTGACTCAATTATAATTATTTCTTTTCCTTTGTATATTGACATTTTTCAAATACTGCATACTGAAATAAATTCAAAACATAATCATTACATGTGGCAAATAAGCTGGGCGCAGTGGCTCACGCCTGTAACCTAGTACTCTGGGAGGCCGACTGCTCTGAGCTCATAGGTTGGAGACCAACCTGAACAAGACCTTGTCTCTAAAAATAGCTAGGTGTTGTGGCGGGTGACTATAGTCCCAGCTACTTGGGAAGCTAAGGCAAGACAATCACTTGAGCCCAAGAGTTTGAAATTGCTGTGAGCTATGATGCCATAGCACTCTACTGAGGGTGACAAAGTGAGACTTTCTCAAAAAAAAAAAAAAGGTGGCAAATAATTTCCTATCTGTCTAATATTGTTCTGATTCAAAATTTAAACTAATGCATAACAAATTAAATTTTACTGATAAAAATACTACATAGGCTGGTCCAAAATAGTGAGTTATCTCACTTTACTGTTCACAAGTCAGTTACAGATTGAAGTCCTTGTTCTACTCTTTTCCCCCACCTCCCTACTGCACTTGACTAGTCTTAAAAACAAAACAAAATGAAACAAAATAGGGCGGCACTTGTGACTCAAAGGAGTAGGGCACTGGCCCCGTATACCGGAGGCGGCGGGTTCAAACCCAGCCCCGGCCAAAAAAAAAAAAACTGCAAACAAAACAGAAACAAAAAAACTATATTCTCATATTTCATAAAGCCAGTGCCAGAAAGGGCCTTAGAAAATAATTACACTTGCATGAAATGCTGACAAATAATTTACACATCATTCTATTCATACCTTGTATAATCTTGACATTATCAATTATAATTGCAGATACACTAAGGTTGAATTTATAATTTAGTATTTAAAAGTCATTGCCCCTGTCTATCAACTGACAAAAGGATACACAAAATGTGGTACACAATCATATAATGCAGTATCATTTAAACACAAAAACAAGTGGAGAACGGATACATATTAAACAACATGGATGAACCCCGAAAGCATGATGAGAGCCCAGACATAAAGGCCACGTACTGCATGATTTCATGTATTTCAAATCCATAGAGATAGAAAGTACATTAGTGGTCTCCAGGGGTTGGGGAAGAGGAGAACTGGGACAGGCATAGAGTTTCTTTTTGGAGTGACAGAAAGCAACTAATTTCTTGACAAATAACTTTTTGTTTTTGCTATTAATAATTTAACTCAAATGAAAACCATATTGGGAATTGTCATTTCATTAAAATTGTCATCTGTCTGGTGAATATGAATGAATACACTGAAAGCAAAGACGCAAAGTAGGTCAAAGGAACAACTGGGGATGCATTTGAATTACTCATAAAACGAATGTAATCAAAACAAGTATACACAATAACAAAAAAATCTTTTACCTCTTAATTGAAAGATTTTTGGAAGCCTTATCGAAAAACTCAGTTTCGGCATTTGGGCTTTCAACACTCAGTTCAAAATGAATTAGATTTTTGTCAGAAGGTTCAATGTTCTGAAATGAAGTATGTCATACTTTGAGATCTAAGTTACATAAAAACACTAGATAATTCTATTTAGATGAAAAGAACATTGGGGTGAGGCAGGACTTTTGATTTCTGTAACTATACCCTTCCATTGTAAATGGTCCATTTTTCTACCACATAAGTAAAAGTGAAAACTTAATCACTGTATTATAACACAGGAACTTAGTAAATACATTAGCTATGAACTGAAGATACCAACTAAACAGTAAAATAATAAATGATATGTGTTTATAAAATAGAAATTAGGAGAAAAAGGGGAAAAAAATTATTAGATCACAGTTAAAATATTATATTTATAATTAAAATACAAAAATTTGATTCATGAATTGATATAACCTATAAATGACCTAGAAGAAGTCGCAAAATAAGACCTGAGTAGAAACCTGGCTATTTATAAGTATTCAATATTTTTGTAATAAAGAAAAAATATACTTTATTAGTCTCAGAACTAAAATAGTCATTTTATTGAAAAATAGTCTTTGAAAGTTTTATATGATGATACCTATAGTTTCTTTTTTTTTTTTTTGAGACAGGAGCCTCAAGCTGTCCTCCTGGGTAGAGTGCTGTGGCATCTCAGCTCACAGCAACCTCCAACTCCTGGGCTCAAGCGAGTCTCCTGTCTCAGCCTCCCAAGTAGCTGGGACTACAGGCGCCTGCCACAACGCCTGGCCAATTTTTTTTTTGGTTGCAGTCATCATTGTTGTTTGGCAGGCCCGGGCTGGGGATTCGAACCCGCCACCTTAGGTGTATGTGGCTGGCGCCTTAGCCGCTTGAGCCACAGGTGCCGAGCTGATACCTATAGTTTCAAAGATCTACTTTTTCTGTGATCATCATGTAGATGCATTTCTATGTATTCTATTAGGTGTAACAACAATCTATTCTAATTCCTTGGATTATACACTATTACATAAAAAGTGACCTTTAAGTGTGAAAAACCATTGTTATTCCCACATGGTATTTTTTGTTTAGAGTTTCACTTTGTCGCCCTTGGTAGAGTGCCCTGGCATCATAGCTCACAGCAACCTCAAACTCTTGGACTCAAGTGATCCTCCTGCCTCAGCCTCCCAAGTAGCTGGGACTACAGGTGCCCGTCACAATGCCCAGCTATTTTTTAGAGACAGGTCTTGCTTTTGCTCATGCTGCTCTTGAAGTCATGAGCTCAAGCAATCCACCCACATCAGCCTCCCAAAGTGCTAGTATAACAGGTGTGAGTTACCACACCCAGCCCTCACATACTTTTAAATAACACAGGATAAACAAAGCACTGAGATCACAAAATTAACTCGCCAAAGTATAAAATGATACAACAGATAAACTATTCTTCAAAGATTTTAGAAAAATATGGACAAATTATTCTGTGGATAACTTTTGATCCTCTATTATAATGCCGAAGACAGTTTAGGATTTACTAAACAAAAATTAACCATAAACAAATAAAGTTAATATTCAGTAAGACTAATTATAAATAAAGCCTAGTTAAAATTAAAAAGTAGTCACTATTTTAAAGAATAAAAGCCATGAGGTTTAAACTGCCAAAGTGCAACCTTAACAAGTCACTAATGTCAATAACTAGGTCAAATTATTAAAGTACTAGGTAATCAAATCACTTACTTTGAAAAGATGTAATGTTTCCTTGCTGGTTAGTAACTGAAATTGAAGGTCAGGTATCTTGCCATCACAAGGGAGGCATTCATAAAATTCAGGCTCCTTATGTGTCACAGAATAGAGAACTATGATGAAATTTCCAGATTCCGAAAAAACCCTGGACAAGAAATGCCATTTAATTATAATTGAATGAGGATTTCAAAAAATTCCATATGAAAATCCCAATCAAGCTAATTGATTGACTAAAAAATCTAATTACTGGAAGAAATCTGAGGAGCAAATTTATGCTTACTTTTTAATGTTATTGATTTGTAATTTCTAAAATGATTTTGTTATGAAATATGTACCCCTTGTGAAAGCCCCAAATAATAGAAAAGTATGACAGAATACGAAAACCACCCATCCCACTCTTCAGTTTAGTGTATATACTCCCAGAATTTTCCTTAGACATACACAAATATTTTATCTATTTTGTATCTCTTTCCACGTTAATATTCTATATCACAGGCCTCTTTATTCTTTTTTTCTTATTTCATTTTTTTTTTGAGATAGGGTCTCATTCTATTGCCCACAGTGGAGTGCAGTAGCATCATCATAGCTCACAGCAACCTTTGAGCTTCAAACTATCCTCCCGTCTCAGCCTCCTGAGTAACTGGGAGTCACTAGGCCTGGCTAATTTTTTTTTTTTTTAAACAGAGTCTCACTTTGTCACCCTTGGTAGAGTGCTGTGGCATCACAGCTCACAGTAACCTCAAACTCTTGGGCTCAAATAATTCTCTTGCCTTAGCCTACCAAGTACGTGGGACTATAGACACCTGCCACAACACCTATTTTTTTTTTTTTTTTTTGAGACAGAGCCTCAAGCTGTCCCCCTGGGTAGAGTGCCATGGCATCACAGCTCACAGCAACCTCCAACTCCTGGGCTCAAGTGAGTCTCCTGCCTCCACAGGCGCCCGCCACAACACCCGGCCATTTTTTGGTTGCAGCCATGATTGTTGTTTGGCAGGCCCAGGCTAGATTTGAACCCGCCACCCTAGGTGTATGTGGCTGGTGCCTTAGCCACTTGAGCCACAGGCGCTGAGCTGCTTTTTTTTTTTTTTTAAGAAAGGAGGTCTGGTTCTGCCTCAGGCTCGTCTTAAACTCCTAAGTTCAGGCAATCCATCTGCCTTGGCCTCCCTGAGTGCTAGGATTACAAGCATGAGCCACCTTGCCCAACCAATGCCTGGTTAATATCTTCAGAGCCTCCCTATGTTGCTCAGGCTGGTCTTAAAACTCCTGGCCTTACACAATCTTTCTGCCTTAGCATCCCAAAGTCCTGAGATTACAGATGTGAGCCACTGTTCCTGGCCTTTATTCTTTTTTAGTTTTCCATTTTATAAATATGCCATTTTTGATTAGACTTCTAAAAATAAACATTTAAATCATTTACAATCTTTCACTATTTTTAACACTGATAAAATGAACATTAATTTTATTATTCACTAAATAATTCAAAAAATATATGGAAAGTCATCAACATTCCTTAACCTATACACTAAAACTATCTAAAAATACTTTCAGTAATTATCTCTACTTTGTAAAATACTGAATAAGAAATAATTTGGGAATATGTTACCCAAACAACAAAACAAAGCAGTGGAGGATGGAGAGGCAGAATGCCTGACCTGCTTAATTCCTCTCTCTGGGGTGAGACAAGCCCGCTGCTCAGAGTGCCACAGAGTACCAACCTAAGTTACGGCAGTAATTAAGAGTACTGGGGCCAGCTAAGGTGGCTCATGCCTGTAATCCCAGCCTGGGAGGCTGAGATGGGCAGATGACCTGAGCTCATGAGTTCCAGAGCAGCCTGAGCTAGAGAAAGACTCTGCCTCTAAAAATAGCTGGGTGTCGTAGCGGGTTCCTATAGTTCTGGCTACTCGGGAGGCTGAGGCAAGAGAATAGCTTGAGCCCAGGAATCCGAGGCTGCTGTGAGCTATGATACCATAGCCCTCTACCAGGGGTGACCAGGGGTGACAAAGTGAGACTCTGCCTCAAAGAAAGGCTCAGCGCCCGTAGTTCAGTGGTTTGGGTGCTGGCCACATATGCCAAGACTGGAGGGTTCAAACCTGGCCCAGGCCTACTACACAATGACAACTGCAATAACAACATTAAAAAAAAATTAGGCAGGTGTTGTGGAAGGTATCTGTAGTCCTAGCTACTAGGCAGGCTGAAGCAAGAGAATTACTTAAGTCCAAGATTTGGAGGTTGCTATGAGCTGTGATGCCATAGCACTCTACCCAGGGTGACAAAATGAGACTGTCTCAAAAAAAAAGGTCTAACAATGGCTTTATGCTTACCTTTCTGAGCTCCCTTCCTGCTACTCTCCCATTCCCTCACTCCTCTGTAGCCACACTGGCCTCCTTCTTGCTGTTCCTTGAGATGTAAAGTTGTCTTTCACCCAGGGCCTTTGCATTTAATGTAGCCTGTGCCTGGGACACTGCCCCAGACAACCACATGGTTTACTCCCTCACCTCAAGTCTCTGCCTCCTTGGCTCGGCGCCTCTGGCTCAAGCGGCTAAGGCACCAGCCACATACTGGTTCGAATCCAGCCCAGACCCACCAAACAACAATAATGGCTGCAACCAAAAAATAGCCGGGCATTGTGGCAGGCGCCTGTAATCCCAGCTACTTGGGAGGCTGAGACAGGAGACTCGCTTGAGCCCAGGAGTTGGAGGTTGCTGTGAGCAGTGAAGCCAGGGCACTCTACCCAGGGGGACAACTTGAGGCTCTGTCTCAAAAAAAAAAAAAAAAAGTCTCTGCCTCCTTGATTACCTATTTAAAAATTGCAACTTTTTACCTGCCACTATCATTCCCAAACAACATCCTCCTCTCTGGCTTTACTTTTCTCCATAGCACTCCTTATCTTTTAAAATACCATTTATTGGCTCAGCACCTATAGCTCAAGCAGCTAGAGCGCCAGCCATATACATCGGAGCTAGCAGGTTTGAATCCAGTCCAGGTCTGCAAAACAACAATGACAACTACAACCAAAAACTGGCCGGGCGGCTTGGTGCCTATGGCTCAACCGGCTAAGGCGCCAGCCATATACACCTGAGCTGGCGGGTTCGAATCCAGCCCGGACCCACCAAACAATAATAATGGCTGCAACCAAAAAATAGCCGGGCATTGTGGCGGGCGCCTGTAGTCCCAGCTACTCGGGAGGTGGAGGCAGGAGAATCGCTTGAGCCCAGGAGTTGGCGGTTGCTGTGAGCTGTGATGCCACAGTTCTCTACCCAAGGTGACAGCTTGAGGCTCTGTCTCAGAAAACAAACAAACAAACAAACAAAAACCGGCCGGGCATTGTGGCGTCCAGTCCTAGCTGCTTGGGAGGCTGAGGCAAGAGAATCACTTAAGCCCAGGAGTTGGAGGTTGCTGTGAGCTGTGACACCATGGCACTCTACCCAGGGTGATGGCGTGAGACTCCGTCTCAAAAAATAAAACAAAAACATTTATTTTACTTATTCTGTTTAGTGCCTATCTCTCCTGGATTTTATTTTGTTTACTACTTATCCCCAATATCATGAATATATTGTGGTACATAATAGGTGTCCAATAAATATTTGTTTCGCAGTATTAGTGAGCAGGAAAGAAAACAGGCATTCTCATACACTGTTGGAAGGATTATAAATTTGTAGTCTTTTTGTAGGACAATTTAACAATATCTACCAAATTTAAAATTAGATATTCTTTGGCCTAGAAAGAACACTTTTAGAAATTTACCCTACAGACCTGGTGCAGTGGCTCACACCTATAATCCTAGCACTCTGGGAGGCTGAGACAGGTGTACTGCTTGCGCTCAGGAGCTCGAGCTAAGCAAGAATAAGACCCTGTCTCTAAAAATAGCTGGGTGTTGGCTTGGCGCCTGTGGCTCAAGCGGCTAAGGCGCCAGCCACATACACCTAAGGTGGCGGGTTTGAATCCCCAGCCCGGGCTCGCCAAACAACAATGGTGGCTGCAACCAAAAAATGGCCAAGCGCTGTGGCGGGCGCCTGTAGTCCCAGCTACTTGGGAGGCTGAGGCAGGAGACTCGCTTGAGCCCAGGAGTTGGAGGTTGCTGTGAGCGTGATGTCATGGCACTCTACCCAGGGGGATAGCTTGAGGCTCCGTCTCAAAAAAAAAAAAATAGCTGGGTGTTTTGGTGGGTCTCTATAATTCCAGCTACCTGGGGGCAACACGATCACTTAAGTTTAAGGTTGCTGTGAGCTACAATGCTATGGTACTCCATTGAGGGTGATTAAGTGAGACTCTGTCAGAAGGAAAAGGTAGGGGAGGGGAGGAGAAAGTTTACTCTCTAAATATATATTAGCACAAGCAAAGATGTACGCATAAGACCAGTAGTCTACCACTGCTTGTAAGACAAAAGAACCTGTTTTTAAAATACAGTATATATTGTATGTTATTCAGTTGTAAAATATAACTAAAATATGTATATGCCGTGATATAATAATCTTAAAGGTATAATGATACAGAGAAAAAAAAATACATTCAGAAAAGAAAGAATGATATGCTCCTATTTGTAACTTTATTTTTATAGGCTGGGACAAGGTAACACTTATTTTTGTATTAAAGACTTCAGGAAGGAAGCACAAGGCACCATTTAATAGGGATTGCCTCTGAGAATGGGGTCTGAGAAAATGGAAAAGTTATTTTTATTGTGTATCTTTGCAAATATCTAATTTATCATGTATTGTCTTTCCAATAAAAAGGGGGTTTTTTGGTATAAAACGTCTATCATAGCCACTCAAAGTCAATAAGAACACTTTTTCATTTGAATGTAAGAGGAAAACAGTGGCACCATGTTTAAAATAAAATTAAATGAGGAACTGAGGCCAGAAATAAAATTTCCCTAACTATTCACTTTAATGTTTGCTTTAATTCCAGGAAGAAAATTAAATGTCATTTCAAATGTTTCTCACTGTTACCAGTAGTCATACTGTATAACTTAATAAAACACTTGCAAAGTAACAAATTCAAACTCATTTGCAGTCATTTCAGTGAAAGTTATTCTCTTTATTTATAAAATAGAATGCTACAGTGGATAAGCTCTAGGGCTTTTTTCCACCCCTAGAAAGTATATGTTGTATAAGACAAGTAAATTCCTTAATACTTTCAGGTATACTGTAACCTCATCTTTTTTATCTGTTTTTTTTGTTTGTTTGTTTGTTTTGTTTTTTGAGACAGAGTCTCAGTATGTCACCCTCAGTAAAGTGCCATGGTGTCACAGCTCACAGCAACCTCAAACTCTTGGGCTTAAGTGATTCTCTTGCCTCAGCCTCCCAAGTAGCTGGGACTACAGGTACCTGCCACAATGCCCAGCTTTTTTATTTTGTTGTTGTTGTTGCCATTGTGGTTTAGCAGGCCCAGGCTGGGTTCGAACCCGTCAGCCTTGGTGTATGTGGCCAGCGCCCTACCCACTGAGCTATGGGCGCCTCCCTTTTACCTGGTTTCATTCCTATTTATATATAGCTTATTTTTTTCTTATTATACTTGTTTACAAATATTGTAAAAGGCTAAGGCATTACATGGCTTTTTAAATGAGACCAATAAACTATGAACAGGTGAAAAGATGAAAATAAACTACTACAGAATAAAGTATCACTTGCCTTTCTTGAACAGAAGAATTAAACATGTACCGCAAGCAGCAAGCCCACACCTGAGGACTATAGATGTGTATAATTCCAGAGAGCCAACTAAAAAAAAAGAATAGAAATTAAAAGCTATAGTAATTTATAAATTAATATACTTTAGATTATATTATGCTCAAGGTAATATGAGATATTAAAAGTAATATTAAATATTCACTTAAATATCAACCCATTGACCAAGGAGCATAGCAAATACTGTCAAGAGATTTCACAGGCCAGAAAACATTTGTACGTTCTCAATAACTTTGTACATGTCATTCCCAAACACGGGTTCCCTTCTCTATCAATCTTTTAATCTACTATCCAAATACTTAAAGGTCTGGTTCAAGTTTGCCTTCTCTAAGAAAATGCCTCTTAGCTTATTTTTCTTACAAATACTAATAGTGTTCACTGTCTGTATTGCTCATTCATAGTAAATCATGTACTTCATTATTTATTCTTGTATGTGTGAGTATTTACATTTTAACATCAGTGGTTATAAATTCCTTGAGAAGAAACTTTAAAGTTCAACAAAGTAGCAAACAAAATACTACGTATAAGTGTTTGACAAATACTGAATAATATAAATTTTGAATAATCTGTCTATCATTAAGCACTAAATCTAAAAGAGAAAGCCATTAACACTATTGACACTAAAGGGAATTTCTACAAGATTGCCTGGCACTAGATTTTAAATTGTGCTATTTTAAACCCTGGGTTCTTCAAGGTTCCTTAAGGACAAGAGGTAAGGAGGGAAGGTTGATGAAATAGAGCTCTAAACCTTCAATTTCAACCAGAAAAATTCAACACTTATCTGTATTACAGGTGACCATAAAGTTCGTTCAATTTAAAAGAGTGTGCAATTTAAAATTACATATAAATGTTATAGCCACCCTGTATTGGAGTTCTTCCTAAGACTGGGTAAAATTTTATTTTAGCTGATTCTACTATTAAATAAGAAAGCTTAACAACTACTGGCCTTTATGGCTTTATAAGAAGATCTAAATATGCATAGTACAACTGATCCATATGCATATCATGTACATTTGAATACCTATTTGGCTGATAAAGTTTCCATAAATAATGCAACACTTACATGCCCACCAATGGTAGAGAATAAACCTTGGGATCAGATTCCAACAAAAGTAACAATTTGCGTGTTTCATCCATGGTGAGATATCTAAACAGAAGACATTCATGTAAAAATAATTGAAAGTACTGTATGTACTCTTAAGAGATAATCTGAGTACTTGAATTTATTTTAGGTAGGACAGATAACTTAAATGAACATTGTCTTTCTTACATAAATACACACAAACAAAACAGTCCAAAATATTCAACTTGGTAAAAGGAAGAGATTAAAGAGATTTAATATCTTAAAACTTTTATTAAAAATGATAGCTAAAGATTATCCATCTTTTTAAAGTTA